GAACAGACTGTAAATTTTACAGAAGACAAGGCACGGTACTGGATTCAGTCCTTTGATAATGTTCCAACATAATGTATTTCCTTAAAAAAAAATAAAAATAAAAGAAAGCAATTGGTAAATTCTGCAAGTTTGTGAGATGACGCACTATACTTCATTACACATTTATGACACAAGGTGTTTATTTTGGACTTCACGACTTGATCTCGTCAGCCTGCAAAGACAGGAAATGGTCACAAAGAGCTCTCAAAATAAAAATCTCAAGGCTCAAAAACAGGACACTTTGGAACCACAGTCTGAGCCTGATCTTCTCTGACAGAAGCAAGTTCCAAGAGCTTGTCAGTGTAACGGAGAAGCCACCTTGTCACTTCTTACTCTGCTCGACACAGATGGCATATCTCTGGTTCAACCCGGAGATAAACGATTTAAGGGGTATCGAAATAAAGACAAACACAGATCCACCCGACGGACGGTTCTCTCAGAGTTTGTTGGCGTAAAGTGTCTCCTCCTCACTTTCACTCTCGTCCTGAAACTCGTGGGCCAATAGGGACTTCTTGGATCCCATGGACGTGAGCCGTATCTCGTCGTCGTATTCGTCTCGGTGCTGTCGCAACCGGTGGAAGCCGTCCTTCTGGTGATTAGATTTGGCGGCACACACGCACCAGATAATGCACGCCGTCACCACCAGTGCTGTCATGGAGGCAGCTGTACAGGGGGAGAGGGTAGAGGAATTATATATCTGCATACACACTTACTGCTGAAGAGAGTTCCCTCTGTTTTACCATAGAAAATGTATTGTTTTCAATTGTTGAGTGATTACATTGGGTAAAACATTTAGGACTCAAATATCTAATGTTTAAGAATTTAGTGAATTGAGCCACAGGATCTTAAAACAATGAACAACACAAAGGTAACAATAATACATTATACCAGTGTTTCCCAACCTTTTTTGAACCACACCACATATGAGGAAAAAAACCACACGGCACAACACCGAACAAAAATCTTACAAAAACTATATGTAAAGAAATATAATAACCTATTTCAAATAGATACATAATTGACTAAAATCTCAAAAAGACACCTAAATCCTAAACAGCTCTGCTTGTTTTTGTTTTAGTTGTTTTTGTTTTAGTTTTGATAGCCATCTACTGCCACCTAGTGAAGAGTAATTCATTGTTCTGTCTGTCACGCATTGACGAACAAAAAAAAAAAATGCAATAAACAGGACGCTCTGTTTGTAATCACATTTACAGAGATAACTCTTACCTGCACTTGCCACTACAAACTCTCTGGGCAGCCCAAAGATACTGTTGTCCATGTCAAACTCAATGATAATGGTTCTGGCAGCTTCATGGGAATAGACCACCACCTGTAAAACACCACAAACACCATCCTTTAGTATCAATTAGCATTTGAGGGTTTTTTTCCTTATTTACTTTAATCAAAATGCTGACATCAAAATGCTGACAAGTGTTTTTTTTTTTTGTTTTTTTTTTTTTTTTTGTTTGTTTTTTTTTTTTTTGTTTTTTTTTTTAAATCAACAAATTCAAAGTAACATGAATACAGCACAGAAAAATCAGAAAATGAGTTCTTCCACATGGTTGTACTTCCAGCCTGGCTCCCCCACCACACACCACACACAGAATAAGGCCACACGACTGCTTTTGTTAATGACCAATCAGTTGGTCTCACCTTCACCTGCTGCCAACATTCAAGATAATGTGGTGCAGGTTGTCCAGTTTGAACTCTGACATAATCAATTTAGAGGTTGACTTCCAAAATCTGAGTCTCACTTATTTGTTGCCGTCATTGAAATGCAGATTAAAACATGGAAAAAGAAAGCAAATCTAAAACTAACAAAAAAGGAGAGTAAAATATATGCATAGTTTATTTCAGTAATGTAGCGTGGACACACCTAAAGAGTAAGTTCACCTTCTGGTTCTGTTCATCTTTCTATTTGATCACAGGGACAGAAATAAATGAAGTGAAACAAAACTTTTTTTATTTTCCTCCCAGGGGTGTGAGATGTGTCCTTATGGCCTAAGGCAGAGTATTCGATGTCCAAGCAAGTATGGGGAAATTGTTAAGGAGAGGACGCCCACACTGTCATCGAATCAACAACTGGACTTTGTGGCTGCGAAGCGTGAAGAGTGGCCTGAAACTCCCCTGGATAACAGATATATAAAAAATGCTGCTGTTCTTCCAGGTCTGAAGGATGAGGCTCTCTCCTCTGAAGAGAGAACCTCCAGCTCTGTGGTGACCAGCCAGCCAGAGATTCTGCTGATCCACGGCTTCACGGTGCCAGAGTACCAGCACATATATCATTCGGTGGTGGACCCTTTGCTCCTTGATCCTCATGGGGAGCCCGCAGTCTACAGTCTGGAGCTGGGCCGTCACATCAAGGAGCAGCTGTTTTCGGAGTTGGCCTACCCAACATTTCAAATGACAGAGCAGCCCAGTGGAAGAGTAGCAGTGTTGGAGAGGTTCTGTGTGCTTCGCTCCACACCCGTCATAGATATTGAAATTTAAAAAAGAAAAAACTGTTCTGCAAAATGTTTACTAGCTTTGTTAATTTGATGTCAGGGAAGTTTACATTTGTTTCCTCTTTAAAAGTTAGTGTGGAATAGAGCTGCACTATAAAAACAAAAAAAATCTGTTCCAAAAATGTTACTTTCTTTTGTATGTTCTACTCTCTCAACTCAGACAGGAAAAAAATGCATCCCAACCTAAATGCAGGTTTTATTTTAGATTCACTTTACTGTCTCTTGTCATTTGCTGTCTGACTGTAGCTGATTTTTTTTTTCCTCAATGGACTTTCTGTCTACTTTTGTTAAGATGCCTAAATTGTAGAAAAGTCAAATGATGGTAAATGTATTTAAACAAATACAAATAATCTTTAAATATTTTAAATTCGCCAATTAACAGCACATTTTCTCAAAAGTCACTAAGAAAGAAAAAAACTACACATTGGAAATGCTGGGACCTTTTTATATTGTAAAAACTAAAAACTGTTCAGTGATTGGTCAACAATCACAAGTTGTGATTAATTAGGTAATTAATAAGTGATTCATTGGCTTATATTTGAGGCCATTTGTTCAGTTGTATTTTGTTTGTTTGTTTGTCAACTACTGCTGCATTGTCCTTGTTTGGATATTGTTTGCATGTTTCGAGGTAACAAAGTAAAGTTTACCAAATTCCTCTCGTGGTGTTACATTCCTAACTGCTGAACTAAGTGCCTGGTTAATTTTGTGTTGGAGAAATATCTTTTACTTTTTATTAAATGCTACAATACAATACAATACATCTTAAAATTTGAGCCATGACTAAGTGAAATACCACCAGTTAAATACTAAACAAAAACACTCTTGTTCGGGGAAATCAAATTTCCACGTACCTCCTGACGTTGTTGTTGAAAGCCGTCAGCAACAGCTTCGATTTTGTGGCTGCCAGGAGCCAGCAGCACGTGGAAGTGCCCGCCCTCTGACGTCCTCACCCTCGCGCCCCCATTGAGAACAATGACGGCTCCGACGATGGGCCAACCTCTTTTGTCCCTCACTACACCACGCACTCCTTTATGCACCTGGATCAGGTCAAAACAGAGAGAAAATCAAATAATCAGCAACGTTGACTTCCACAAATGTTCACTCAAATGTTTACATGTTTAAAATAAAATTATTGCATGTGAGGCAGACTAAAAGACACAGAAAGAAGTAGGACTTTGTATTTACTGGACCTGGGATTTGTATTCTGAAGAGAGTTAAATTTCAAAAGTGTATACCTATATCAACTACGGCCACAAGAGGGCACCAACTTCCTTAAAGCCATATAAGCAACAAGAACATCCTGACTTCCAAGAACTACTTAAATGAAATGCACCAAAAAAATGCTTTTCTACAGAATTTAAAATGCTGATTATAAGAAGTATGAAGCCAAAAACGGTGATTAATTGAGCAGCAGAAAATAACTGGAAACAACTGATAGTGATGGTGAGTGTAACAGCAGCCTAGGAGAAGAGGAGTCTCCACAGTCTGAGATGCATAGTCCTGAAGTTCACGCAACTTTATCTCTCCAAATGGGTCATTTAATTACATATTCATCGCGCCAACCGACTGCACCTTACCTCTACTAACATGCTGAGGAGAGCTTTTTTATTTTCTGCCCACAGTGTGGCCAGCTGCCCAGCTGCAGGGAACAAACAGCAGCCGGTGTAGACTGTGATTTCAGGACACTGGCCATAGTCCATGCTGAAATCCTGGAAAGACACATAGAGAGCAGATGACGTGGAGGACAGCGCTGAAGCACACATCCGTTTGAAACTTTAAACGTGAACTCACCTTCATGCTCCCCATGTGGCTTTGTTTCTCCGCAGCCCTCATTACACCATCAGGGATGTTGGTCGCTGAGTGAAAAAAAAAAAAAACACAATTATTGTTTTATTGTTTGGGCTGATATTATGGAATAATGACAACATTTGTTTATTGCATTTCCTACATACTTTGTCCATTAATTGAGCATCCAGTGTTGCCAAGGTGCATTTTGGGATGGTTGTTGGAGTAAACACTTGCCAAGTACTTCAGTGTACCCTCATTTTCAACTGTGAATATATTTAAATTAAAACATTTAAAAAAGCACAAATAAATAATTGATGATGATCAGCACCAATCTAAGATAGAATGTGATTAATGCTCTCTTGGATGGATGGATGGATGGATGGATGGATGGATGGTGTTGTTACCTGATTGTACAGGTTTATCATAAGGATAGGTGGCGACCAAGGCGCCTCCGTCTAGAGCCACGGACAGAGTGTGTTTTTGCTTGATCAACTCCATCATCGCTCTGGTCTCTGGTTCTACTTTCTCTGCCACCAGCTGCGATCCATTGCCTACGACAGAAAAAAAACCCCACAGTGGACAAAAGCAGCTGTTACAGCCTAGTTTTGGAATCACACATAAAACTGCAACTATTTGTTTTGGAAATTACATTTCTGACAAATCGTTCGAACCAATGCCAAGATTTATTTAAATTTTGTAAAGTGTGATATCTGACCCATGTTGAAGTCAGCGTCCAGGTCCTTTCCATGTGCGTTGGAGAAGCCGCGGGTTGAGGTGCACTCCTTCTCGACGGCCTGCTCTCGTCCATCAGGGTTGATGGAGGGCACTATGATGATCCGGGTGTTGTTGATTAACTGGGGAAAAAAATGTCAGGAGGTGAGATTTACAGACACTTTTTCAGACTTGGGAATGATAATATTAATAATTATTTGACTTATTGTTGTTATGAATCATTTTATTATGAAACATACATAGGTTATAGAAACATAATAAGTAAGACACCTAAACGAAAAACGTAAAAATTAAAATTTCTACATAGGTTATAGAAACATAATAAGTAGACACCTAAACGAAAAACGTAAAAAGTAAAATTTCTCTAAAAATGTGCTGTAGTAGTAAAACTTAATGGATTTTTATAAAGCATACAGACCTATGAGAATTAAGCATTAAATAATACATTTGTTCAGTTTGACAGCAAATTCATACTTAATAAAAATGTGCTGTAGTAGTAAAACTTACAACTCACTTACAACTCACAGTCCCACTTTCTTCACCTAATGGAAACCTAGTCCCAATTCAGTCAAGACAACTGTTTAATGTTAGTTAACTTTAGTTGACTTTAAGGAAAAATCAAAATCATTTTAGTTGACAATTAAAATTTCTATGTAGTTAACAACAACCGTGACAATATCTTTTAAGACAGAGCAAGAGAGATATTTTCTTCATCTTGTTTGGACAGCATCTTAAGTCCTGAATGCAATTTCAACTGGTCAATTCTGTGGACAAATACTGACATCTGCCGTCTCTACTGCATAGAATCAATTTTTCTCGGAGTGGAATTTGCTGTCTCTGAGGTAACGCTACAGTGTAAACTAACAGTATACCCTGTAGGAAGCTCACCGTGGTGATAGCGGGGTTTTTGCCATAGTTGATACACAGGAGGGCAGCAAACTCCAGCAGCAGCTCTGTACCCACTGGGGCATTCCCATGGATCCCTGCTACGAAACGGATGGTTGGTTTTGATGGATCTGCTTCTCCGGGTTTGTTAGAGATTTCCAGAGCCCAGATGGTTCGAATCTCTACACTTTGCCTCAAGCTAGTAACAGAAAGAATAAAAAACCACCACATTGATAAAGAATTATTACGGAAATAATGTTTGTGAAATCCAGAAGTTATGGAACGGACCACGTGAATGCATACCTGCGTAAAGATGTAACTGTAGGAAAGTTCAGAGTCAGCCCCCTCATAAACTCCGATATTTCTTTGTAGCGTCTGTAGCGGAAGCTGCTCTCTGTGGCCGTGCTCTTGACCAACTCCTCCAAACCCTGGCCAATGGAGAGTTCCTTGATCAAGCTCTGGAGCTCCTTCTCGGATGGGTCCTGTGTGGGCTGCGGCCCATTTTGGCTTTTGGAGGCGGAGTTCAAACGCGTCAGCCGGAAATCCACCACTTCCACGCCGTCCTTTGAGACCGTTGCGTACGTCGTCACAGACTCATACCTAAACAGTAGAAGGGCCTTGTGTTTTAGTTTTAATTTAGTTTAGGGGCTTTATTTATTTGTGTTCATTTTTGTAATATTAAATGTTTTATTTTCAGTTTATTGATATTTATTTGTGTTCATTTTTGTAATATTGTGTATATGTAATAATGTTTTATTTTCAGTTTATTGACTTAAGGGAAAGTTTAGAAAGAAAACTAGAATAAAAGGAAAATATCAGATTTCCAAATTTTGTGTAAAAAATTTCAATAATTATTGAAATAATCGTGACTACGATTTTTTTTCAAGCAGTTCCACGCTTACCCATGAGCAGAGGCTGTGAGAGAGTAAGTGTTGGGAGTCAGAAGTCTCCAGTAGTCTCCAGTGAGGGCGGTGGTGATGTTATGCTTTATCTCTGCAACACTGATGGTGGCGTTGGGGATTCCTGTACCGTCACTGCTGTCAGAGACTGTGCCCTTCACTCCAGTGTGAACCTGAACAAAGGTACGAAATCAAACACATGACCACACGCGAACACTACGACCATTCGGTCACAACGTTGTGAAAATGAATATTTATGCCGATACCTGGTAGATAAACTTAATCAGGGCTCTTCGGTTCTGTTCCCAGTAAGAAGGCAGATCCTTGGCCCAGGGGAATTTTACACAACCCAGCTCAATGGTCAACTCAAAGCAGTTGGTGTTTAAATAGTTCCAGTCCTGCATGCCACCTGCAAAACCAGCATCATTTAAATTTTAAAGTATTGTCTACCTGAAATACAGATAGCTCTGACATCATAGCATCAACGTGCAGCCAAAACCTAATTAATCAATAACTTTTGCCTTAAATATGCATGAAAATATTCTATAAACATATGGAATTAAATGCAGTTTTACTCCTTTAAACTGACCATTACAGAGGCGTAAAAACCAAAACACGTTTAAAAAAAAATAAAAAATCAAAAAGTAGTTCAATTTTGAAAATAAATGTGAATGAGAGGCTGAGAAATACAAAAGCGACATACCAGCGACGTTGTACCAGTTTGCACCATTGGTGATGCCATCCTCAAAATAGTCATTAGGGTAAACGTCCGGACAAGGGTGTCCATTGTGCATCAGAGGGTTCTCCTGCGGAGTGAGCGCACGCACACACACAGAGACACATGACAGCTGAACAAAGAGTGCTGTTGTTAACCTTTTTTCTCTCCCCAGGTTTTAACCACACTTATCCTAAAACTTTGTTCTCGTCCTGCCCTGAAACAATTACAGCGGCGGCAGCAGCAGCAGCAGCAGCAGAGTTTCGTTACCTGTGAATATGCCCTGGACAACTGCTGGAAAACCTGGTCATCGGGGGCCTTGCTGTAATGACTTATCCCTTCTTTGTCGTCATCGTAGGGGTAGTTGACCACCAAAGACCCTTCAGTGGAGACGTTAGAATTTAAAATATGCTCTTTAAGTACCATGTTGTGATAAGAAGCAAATTAACGCTGTACCTCCATGCAAGTTGGCAGACAGAACGAAGGGGATGCTCCTCAGCCAGTTCATCACAGCGATCGTCTCTGGTTGTCTGGGCACGGCGTTCTCAGTGAACTGATCGGGGAAGTTGCGATTCAGGTCATAGTCATTGCTGTTGTTCCGTCCTCTGACTCCCTTTACATCGCCTGCAAAACGAGTATGTCATGTTGAAACACAGTTCTATACACATACTATAGGCTACATAGTAGAGATTACGCAGTGTTTAAAATCTGCTCTGGAGTTCAACAGTGGTGTTTTGATGAGGAAAAAAACAATTTTTTTTCAGTTGTTCTCGTGACATGAGAACTTACACTGTGGTCAAAAGACACTCCACCACAGGCAGTAAGTCAGCGTGAGAGCTCATGAGAGTCGGATCTTCACGACAAATACGAAGCAAAACCGTGTAAGAGCACATTTTGCTTGACATTTTGTTCACCTATGTTCATGATTACAGCATGCACACTGCTCATTAGAGCGAATGAGTCACAGTGCTATTCTTGAGAATAGACTTTTGGCCTTTTTCTACTGGGAGATTGTGAAAAAAAATATTATTATATATATATATATTAATCATAGCATAATTGTCTGTTGCAATTCTCAGGATCTCTTATCATTTCTGTTCCGTACATTTTTCATGTTTTTGCCTTTTAGATGAGGCCCAAGGAAATAATAACACGATTTAAAAAAATATTTTTCATACTTCACAGCCATTGTGATATCGTGACCTGCAGCTATCATACCTTCCCTGGACACCTCGTAGCCGTCAGGGTTCATCGAGGGCATGATGTGAATGCGGGTGTTGTTGACTAGCCAGGTGACCTCTGGGTCACTGCCATAGTTACTGCAGAGATACTCGATCAGGTTGAGCATGAGCTCCCGACCCACCACTTCGTTACCGTGCATGTTGGCCACGTACTTGAATTCTGGCTCACCTGGTGTGAAAACAAACAATGATATACAGTTTAAATATATATATATTTAAAAGGTAAATTTACTGTAATATTACTTGTGTATTTTACATTAGAAGTAATCAGCTGTATTTACATCAAAGCTTTACCGCTCGCACGTACCATGTTCGTGTACTTTGGGGTTATCAGAGATGACCATCACATAGAGCGCACGTGACTGCACCGAGTTGCCAACGGAATAAAGGTGGGTGATGGAGGGAAACTCGCTCTTGTACTTCCGTAAGAAAAGCTCCATGTCTGCAAAGTGGTGGTGTCTAAAGTCCCGTGGCTGGATTGGCTGCGTTTCTGGTGGCGGCGGCTGAGGAACGGGAAGTTTGTCCGTGGACCCGTGAGTCTGGGTGGAGATGGACACATCTGCAGTGGTGCTGGAGGTGGCAGTCACAGGGGTGGAGCTTGCAGGCAGGGTGGACGTGGAACCAGCAGCTTCGCTGACGACAGGTGCAAGTGTGAAGTTGAGTTGAGTGGCTTTGCCCTCTACGACTTCGACACTGTTAACTGTCATCGGTGAATACCTGTTTAAAGAAAAGGAAGTCAGTTTTGCTAATTGACAACATTTTTGGGTTTTTTTTTTGCCAACTTTACTACCTTAGAGGACCTACTACAGTATTTAATGGACAAACTGTGTATAAGACTTTAATACTCTATAGCTAATTGTTTACTTTTTTGGCACATTATACATTATAATTAATATATACCGTATTTTCCGGACTATAAGCCGCTACTTTTTTCCCACACTTTGCGCCTTATATAAAGATGCAGCTTTTCTATGGATTTTTCTTCAGGACAAAAACAAGACGGACATCTTCAGGACGCCCCCTTGCTAGAACGGCCCCCTGGCGTTCTAGTAAGGGGGCGTCAAAAACAAGACGGACAGGGGAAGTCAGTGCGAAGAAGAACACACTAGTTTTTATTTAGCACGACAGCGAATCATTTTCACACCCTCACCCCGTCATCATGGAAAGCACACAAAGAAGTTCGTATGATGCAGCTTTTAAGTTAAGGGCCATCAATCTGGCTAGCCAGGGAGGAAACAGGGCTGCTGCACGTAACCTTGGCGTTAATGAATCCATGGTGAGACGTTGGAGACGGCAGCGGGAAGAAGAGAGCAGCGTACCTTTACCTCGGGATGACAGCGACACGGAGAACGACACTGACAGAGAGACTAAACAGTATGTGACCAAGTTTTTCTGAGGCTGTTCAACTCCGACACTGAAGAAGACGACTTCAGCGGTTTCAGTGCGCAGGAGGAAGATGAATAAAGCCATCAATTACTTTTCTGTTTTGTTCGATCGGCACTTTTACTGCCGTGTTACAGGCACTGTTCGGAAACAATCAGTTCAGGTATATAAATAAACATTTACGGTACAAAATCTTTCTGTGTTCTTGTGTATCTGGTAAATATGTCATTCCTCAACCTGGATATCCGGTGCGGCTTATATGTGTAAACTTATGTTTGTGCGGCTTATATGTGTAAATTTATGTTTGTTTTTTTTAAATGAGTGGGTGCGACTCAGGTGCGCTCTATAGTCCAGAAAATACAGTATAATGGTATATAAAACCTTCAACTGATGTTTTTCTTTCTGTTAACTATTTATCTCCTCTCTCCTCTCTGCATCCTCCCACCCATGACACACCGTAGTGACTAACACCAGACACACAGAGCAGCAGTGGGCTCCACTTCCACTCGCTCAACTCGTCACAGTCCTGTTAGGATCAAGAGTTAAGCCCGTTTTAGTAGAAATTTCTGATTTGATGATAGAAACCACAGTTCTAATCACCCTGGAGCCATGGCTGTGATGTTGTACGTCCCTGGGAGCAGCAGACGATAGTAGTCCCCAAAATTCCCTGTGGTCAGGTTGTGGCGAATTCCAGCCACTACAATGTTGACATTAGTGAGAGCAGCACCGCTGATGGCCTCTGTCACATAGCCTCGAACACCCATGTGTACCTGGAAGACAGGGTCATTTGTAAAACGAGAAAAGCCAACTTGTTGTATTTGAAGACGTTGAATCAGGCAGGATTAGGTTCCTGTTCTACCTGTTCCATATAGGCCAGTAAGGATTCCCTGTTCATATCCCATTCCCCTTGAAGCTCAGAGGCTAAGGGATACTTGCAGCAGCTGAGCTCCACAGTGATCTCCAGACAGTTCCCATGGAGGTAGTTGTAGTCCTGCATCCCACCTGAATAACCAGTCAAATACAGTATCATAAATAAAACGTGTTTGAAGACTTGTCATGGCGACACACAAAATCTCAACTCTGTTTAAATGTGTCCATTCTGAAACAGTTGTTGTGTCCTTGTCTTTTCAGTCCCTCTGTTTAGAGATGGTGTTTAATGTCAAGTCTGTGACATGTGCAGTTTGCCAGTCGACATGCTCTTTCAGCAAAGCAAACAGAAGGGACAGGACAGTGGGGCGGGCTGTTCAGGGGGGGGTCTGTCCCTCTGGAGTGACAGCAGGCAGCCAGAAGCTCCCCCGGCTGGAGGGTTGCCATGACAGCCTGCTGGATGCCCACGGCAACCCAATAAAGAAGTCCGTGTTTGTCGTTTTCCAACGGTAAAAGTCAAAGGGCATCAACAAGCACAAATAGACAAATAACATCTACAAATCAACCGTCTTCAGGAGGAACGTTGAGATATCAAGAACAAAAATAGTTCTCTTTTCATACAAATCACTCTCAAATGTTTGCAACAGAACTCAGCTGCTGGTAAGTTAATTTTAGCCTCTACTCCGTCTTCCATTATCATGTTGATCTAACTTCCTCAACTTCAGCCTCGACAATACAAGCGGATGTTGAGTTTCCTCTGATTCCTACATTGAACTCTGCATTTCCAGAAAGCTGGGATCTCTGACTCAAGCTCAGGGCATGTTAAACAATATGAGTCAGAAATAAACAAAAAACATGACGGACTGTTTTGATAGAGATACTTTGAAGTCCAGCAATCATGTCTGTTTGCGTGCATAAAAAGAAAATACAAGGATATGACACAATGAAATTTTAGAGGGCAGTGGTGGCTTAGCGGTTAAGGAAGCAGACTTGGGTCCAGAAGGCTGCTGGTTCGAGTCCACCAGCTGATAAGCAGCCCTGAGCATGGCATTGTCCCCACAAACTGTGGGGGGTGATGGGTTAAAAGCAGAGGTCACATTTCATCGATGTGCTGTGTCACAAAGACAAATATTCACTTTAGGTGTGTTCTTGCCAAAACACAGCTAGCTAAAAAATATTTGCTAATCTTGTTTTAACACCTTCACCACTATTCTATTGTATGAAAGACTAAAAAAAAGACATTTATGCCACTGTGTTATTTATTTATTTAAGGACATTTATATAGTGCATATTATGTTTATACATCTATTTACATACTGCATTTTCATTGGTGCTGCCATTGCTCTGTGACTCTCAGTAAAGTCCAGGTAGATTAATTTTGCTCTGACGTGCTGCCATTGCTCTGTGACTCTCAGTCACAGAGCAAAAGATTAATTTTGCTCTGATTTCAGTAGTAAAAACCTTCTACCTTGAGTGGCATTTTCCTTGTTGGAAGTCTGAATTTTAGAACTCCCACTTTTCTGGATTGCACCATATCTAAAGTAATTATCTACATTGCAATAAATAAAAAAATCTTCATGCTGTAAAAATTTGACAAAAAAAACATGTTGGAGAAAATGAGAATCTTAGAAAAAAAATAAAAAATAAAAAAAAAAGTCCAGAGATGTGTGAGGCAGCCAAGATCACTTAGAATAGAACAGAAAAAAAAAGAAAAAATACTTTAATTAATTATGACAATATGTTGTACCAAACATATGCTTCAATGTCATTTCAACTGCAGTGAATGTCAAACTAAGCGGTTTCTACTTGGTTTATCACATTTAACTTTTTAATGACATCATCGGGATGTACTTTTAACAGCACATAAAAACTCCATTGAAGTACTTTGATGCTGGTGTAGCGTTGGACTGTAAAACTCAGTGATTCGTTAGAGGTTTTTATCCCCTCGGTTGGGTGTACCAGCAACCCAAACAACCACACACACCACCGGGGCAAAAAATGACAAGGATAAGCAAATAATGCCCACCTTCTTTAAACCCATTCTCCCTGGTCACAAGTGTCAGCATCTCTGTGAAGACTTTGAGTAAACATCCTTCACCGGTTGACTAAGTGCAACAAACACAGCCCACAACTCAAATATCAGGTGTGCGTGTGTGCCAGACTCAGCGACACACCCACAAAAAACAGACATGGAGACACAGGGAGAGGCATTGTCAGAACAGTAGGTGTTGGATGTTAAGTTTTAAAATTATACTGCCATGTTTCAATGAGCAGTTCAAGTGACAGAGCAGGCCAATAAAACATGATTGTTTGTTCTGGATTATTATCAATGATTTTTCAACCACTAAATTAGTCTTTGGATTTTTTTTTTCTCTGTATTTTTTGGTTTCAGTGACAATAAATTCAATATCTTAGGTTTGTTACTACAACAAAAACTGTATTTTTGAATATTTGTTTTTTTACATTAAAAATATTAGTCGCTTGCCCACAATTTGGAAATTCACAGTGTAATCTTAGCAAACCCACACAGGCTGCCAGAAGGGGGCAACAATATGTATGTAGTTCATCTGGGGCTCCAACTCAGGACTGTGTGTAGGACAGGCATGATAACCACTACACTATGGAACCACTTATCACCTTATATTTGACAAAATTCAAATTTCCAATTTCCACTTCACCTTGTTTAGAGGATAAGGATGTAATGATGAAACACTCAACTCACAATATGATTCGCGATTTTTTGAAACAAAATGACCTCTAGATAAATTATGCCCAAATACAATGAACCTTTATTTATAAGAATTATGCAAAAAAAAAAAAAATTACCAACTGAAATGTTTCTTTAATAACTGACTACAAAAAGCATTCATCTCCTCTTATTAAAAGTAAACCTGGTCTTATTGTGTTTTTCAAAATCCTTTGCCTTAATACATAAAACCTCTGGACAATGATTCCTTCTGTACGCATATTTAAAACCCCAGGACTTGTAAATTATAAAACCTTTTTGTCCATTAATGTTTTATCTCTAAATCTTTGCACAACGTCAGCACAATCATGCACCAGGAGCCAGGATCATTTCCAACATGCTGAAAACATTTATTCAGGCCGAGAGTGCTGAATAAAAGATCTCCTGTTCCTGACTTTTCATCCTGGCTCTCTGCCTGGACCACTCATTATGTCACACTATCTCCTTCTGACCGCTGTCATCATCTGCTATCAGCCCTGTTCTGCGTGACATTCTATCCACTATGAGCTGATGGACAAATAAAAGCTCTGTCTGTGCCAATGATTTACACCTGTTGTTGTCGCCTCTCATCGTTGGACACGGACACTTCTCATCGTCGGCTACAGAAATAACCTCATTTGAAGGGTTGTTTCAGGTAAATACACATATGCAGAACATGTAGCTCACACTCACCGTTGGTTATTTCTGCTTTTTGTTTTACAGAAAAATGTCGCCTAACTTCCTTGAAGTGACATAACCTAATAACAGGAAACTGGTCCTGGAGTGAGCTGCAGAATCAGCAAACACTGGTTTAGACATCATTTTCAGGACTAGTGTTTGCATAGAAGGGAGGAGTTGGCAGCAGAAAAAAAAACAGTCCAAATTAATATTGAACAGGTTGTACGGGTATACAACATGTTCAAATACTGACAATTATGCAGTATTAAGTGACAAATTGGTGACACCTGAAACCGTACACAACAAAGCACACCTCGGCGGTAGAAGCAACGTAGTCCTGTAACCTCAATCTGCAGACACTTCCGCAGTACGCGGTACGCAGATCAAGTTAACACCAGAATAAGACGATCGAGTCTTGTTTCGGGGGCGGCAAAAGATAATGAGCAAATCCTGTATTTGTACAAGGCTGGTACTACAGACCGATATTAAACCGATCTGGTCCATTGTCTTAATTGTGAGTACTGTCACATGAGCACGGTGCGACTGTGAGCAAATAAACTTCACGGCTGCTCCCAGTAATTACAGGTACTAGCATCAGACAGTTGGAGTCAGTAAAGGATTCTAAGCGAAAGTACTCAGTGTTCGTACAGCTAAGCTATGAGAACACCACTGTGTATGAACTGTTTCCTTAAGGTTCACTAGTAAAGAACCAAGCACGGCTACTGCAAATTCCAACTAAGTTCCAATCATATACTCCCATTTGAAGTACTTAAGTCTCAGCACTTCAGTGAATATTTGTAATTTTTTAAACTTGAAAAATACACACAAAACACATAAATTGTATATATTTTTCCTAATGTCTGCAGTGAGGTGGTGATATCTTAAAGAAGAAATGTAAAAATGTAAACGTTGCTATTCTAACGCTTAACTTATCCTACCAAAGTAACACCCTAATAACACTTTTATATACATGCTGAGATTAATTATCATTTTTGCCACCTCTGCTTCAGGATTGGATCAAACGCACAATAATAATATACCTTTACTACCATTACTGTGCCCTAAATAACCCCCAAACTAATGGGTGACACTCGGTTTATTAATAAATATAGTCCGAGGTCAAAGTATATACCTGATATACTCATAAGACATTGTGACATAAATAGAAAGTAGTAGCAAAGATGAGGGGACAGGGACTTAGCGAGGGTAGGATGACCTGCCATTGCTAAATATAATCCTCGCCAAAAAAACTGTTCCTAGCAGTTACATAGGAAAAGATTAAAGTTATTTACACATGGTTAGGCTAATACAGGTGTTACAACAGTAGGAATAAGACCTTACCAGGCACGTCGTACCACTCGGCTCCATTGGTGATGCCATCCTTAAAGTTTTCTCCTTGGGCATCAGGACAGTTTGGCTCACCGGTCTTCATCACCGGGTGGTTCTGGGAATACACCAAGGCCAGGTGTCGAAACAGGCCATCCTCCTCTGATTTGCTGTAGTGCCCCTGACGATTGTGGGCCGCTGTGTCATCGTAAGGGTAACTCGCAACCACCGTTCCACCATGCAGGTTTGCTGACAGGACGAATCTAGAGAGATTTAAAAAAAAAAACAGGTTTTGCTTGAAACACTACAGACTGACCTTTTTAATAGAGTCTGCATATAAACAACACTTGGATCCTTTGACTAACTTGAGTAACCCCACTCCTTTGACCGGAATGAACCTGAACACGAGTTCCTCCATCACCACGAGATGATTGATACACATGGAAATAAGCAGGTGACTGAGTTATTCATTGACAAGAACTCACTTCAAACTACAGCTGCAGGACGTAGATTTCATTGTTGAATCATCATTTTGGAAAAAACCTGCAAGTTCCTGTAGACTATTACATGTCAGGACAAAGACGCAAATATAATTTAACTTTTTATAATAGGGAATAAAATCCTTTAAAAAAAATAGAGCCTATTGTTTAAAATGTTTTTATCAGAAAAGGTTCATTAAGGTTAGAAAGGTAGTAAATTTAACTGAAATCAGGTTCAGTTAAACTTACTACCAAGACTCTTGGTATTAAAAAATCTTAATAGTCCACCTCATAATTAAAGCGTTAATGGATTTGGCGATGCTTGGCTTTAGATTTCAGCCCTGAACACACCTACTTTGGTTTTACATTTCTTCTTAACAGGATTAAGTACTGGATTTTCTCATCTGCACAAGATGGTAAACAAAACCACTTTAGCACTGAGTTAAGTAAAGTTTGTCTATAGCCAATAAATATTTTACAATATGGGGCGCTGTCTATAAAAACTTAGTCATGATGAGCTTTCTCTGACAGGAATCACTATTTGCTTGCCCCCTTCAGGTGCACGGCAGTGGTCCAAAACATTTAGCACCAGATGCCCTTCCTGATGCAACCAAGGGATTGGGGACTAAAATGGAATTGAACCTGGCTGTAATCCCAAAACTGATCCACTGTGGCTCCTTCAATTTTGTCTGATATACTTTACCTAATCGCCTTTTTTTTTTCAAACCCACACAAAAACATTCTGCCATTTTAACAAAGGCAGCCCATTTTAAGGGTTGTATCTCCCACCTAAACAGCTGAATAAACTGGATATTACACTATAGTACCAAATATGTCCCAGTTCTTGAATTCAGTGATTACAAAAAATTAAATATTAACAATTTTCGTCAGTGATGTGTAACTCATCCAGGTCATTTCAACCTAAGGAGAACCTACAGTTTATCTATTTCTGAACTCATTTTCTCCAATCAGAGAGTGGCAGGTTTCTGCCACTATGTCATCAAAAACTCACTTTTTCTCCTGGATCCACTTAATCATTGCAGTGACCTCGGGAACGTCATCCGGGGGAACAGTGGTGTCGTAATACTGGTCAGGAAAGCTCCTGTTTAGATCCATGTTTTTTGCATTACTTCTTCCTCCGCTGTCGCCATTGCAGTCCCCCTCTGTGGATTTCTCAAAGCCGTCTGGGTTCATGCTGGGGAGGATGTAAATATCCGTGGTGTTGACGAGTTGAGTGACTCTCGGCTCCTCTCCATAGTTCGTCAACAGGTACTCAATCAGGTACACCAGCACCTGTCGGGATACGGTTTCGTCGCCGTGCATGTTGCCGACATATTTAAATTTGGGTTTACCCGGTAGTTCTTTGTCGGGATCCGTTGTAATCCGCATCACCCAAAGCTCTCTGTCCTCCACAGACCGACCAACGCTCGACAGGTTGGCTATTTGTGGGTATCTCCGAGCTAAAGACTGCAAGCGTCCCGTTAAACTCTCATAATTGTAGTAATTATTGTAAGTTTCCGTCGTATCCTCCACGGCGGAGCTGAGGCGTTCTGTCCGGTGCGGAGTGGCGTCAGTGGCGGAAACAAGAGCGAGAAGAAAGGCGAAAAGTAACGGCTGTAGAAAGGCGAAAAGTAACGGCATGGTCGACAGAAGCTCCCGTGTGCTCACCATGTTATTTTGTATTGTACTTCTACACCACCCGTACACGGAATTCACGGTATCTGACCCAATAGTCAGATCATTTCCGACTGTTTGGTTCCACAGCTGTTGTGACAGTCTTTTCTTGGCCCGTTTATTTCCATCCACTTCCTCTAACCCATGTGGGGGCGGGGCTTCTGTGGTGACGCAAATTTTTAAGGTGGCCCGCAAGAGTTGTTTAGGGTTTTAAGGAAAACTGATTTGTAAATTGTGTGTGAACAGAACTGTAAGACATTAAATGTAGTCAAAGTGTGAATAAAAACAAGATGAGTTTATTGTCCCGTGCATTGTGAAAATGCAGTGATTCAGACAATGTAATAGAATTTTTACTTTGTTGTACTCCTTTTGTACCTATCAATATACAGTATATTACAAAACACACGCAACAATTCACAATTGTAACAACACGGACGTAACACAACAACAAAAATGAATAAGAAAAAGCTAAGGATTCTCCAGTTATGAAAATGGTAAACAGATGACACCAGTATACCATGGGTTTAAATGGATCACGTTTAATTGAAATGTGTATAAATTAATTTAAGAAGGATATTATAGAAATAGAACACATTCAATAAAACTGAACACTTGACATAAAGCACTATTGTTCTTTCGCTTTTTCTAATCAGACAGGAAGGAACATTCATGCAGATCTAGTTACTGGACTACGCACAGAGAGTCATGTTTGACGATCACACTTTGTGATGTACTGTAACCTTGGTAACCTGGGAAATGGCAGAACAACCAGCTGGGTTGAACCAGCTCTCAACACCTCTTGTTGAGAGGGAAGAATAAATTATCACCAAGGATTACGTGTAACCTAAGAATTTTAAATGAATTTTAATTTCAATATCAGTTTACTTGAACAATAGTTAATAAGGGGATATAAACAATATTGACTTTAAATTGTAAATCATGTAACCACAAAGATAGCAAGAACAGAAATGGATGAATTTAAATGAATATGATCATTTATGTTTAAAGTTAGACTTAAACAGAGCAAAAAGAGCTCTGAAACTAAATGGACATACACTGCAGAGCAGATTGGTGAAAAGGACATCATCTTTGCATCAATGCAGCAGGAGTTGTTACTGCTCCATGTCCAGCAGTGAGAACATTGTCCCCCTGCTCCAACACAAACTACTGCCCACAAATACCGGACCGCTCCTGTCCTGCCCAGCTGTCCCCAGCATGAAGACAGCCACATTTACATGTATGCAGCTTCAATGGATGAGGACACATGGAAAAGATTTTCATTTTTATTTATATTGGTTGTTATTGTTATATATCCATCTTTATCAATGCAGGTACAGTATTCCAATAATAAGATGTACAACCTTGGTAAAATTTTGATGTTGAAAAACAAAAAAATATTTCTCATTAACAATGGACATCAGTGTAATTCTCCACAATATTTATGAAAATCGTGTAATAAATGATTATGTTTCCTATTAGCTTCACTCCTATGAATTCAGCTCTACTGCGCGCGGTAGAATTAGAACTATTATAGTACGTGTGAGAGATACAGCAATTTGTACAAAAGCAGACACTTGTCCTTCTGTAATGTATTATATAAGTAACCACTGTATTTAACAAGTGTCCTGTATCCTCTCTCCATTGAAGTACTAGTGTCCTGTCCGTGCCACGTTTTCCACCACTGACCCCACATCTTTGTTCGCTTCACTTTTATCGCCAACCACTATGTAAACACACATGCTCAGTCATGCACATGCATTGTTGACAAAGACAGACACACAAAAGCACATTCAGGACACATGGCGGAACCAACACTCACTGTGTTATTGCTGAACTGTAAAACAGCATCGCTTTATTGTTTGATTAATGGTGTTATTGCTGAACTGTAAAACAGCATTGCTTTATTGTTTGATTAAACACATTACCATACACTTAATACACAATGTGGCAACGCCATACACACACCAGGTTATATATTAGGTATTATATTCATTTGTACTTCAGTAAATAAAACTGTGAGGTTTCTGTTTTGAATGTTTGTTGCTCTAAATTCAAGGCGGGCTGGGGAGAGGGGGAGACAGTGACACTAACTGGGGTTACAGTCAGTTTGGAACAAGCTATATTTATCTCTTCACATGCACAGGAATAAATACACACAACAAAACCTGTAATCTGTATTTAACTCACCCTGGGGGTCAGGGGAGTTTTTGTGCCTCCCCAACACACCTCATTTTGGGATTTGAACTAGCAAATTTCAATTGACAAACCTAATCCTTTAATCACTAGGCCACAGGCAACAGGACACAATTTGAAAAAGCAGAGCCTCTATTTTATTTATTTATTTATTTATTTAGGATAAATAATGCAGGTAATGCATTCATTTTGTGATTGCATCATTGATACATAAGCATTGGAGGGTTAAAAGGTTCTGAGGTCATGTATATGCTATTAGATACATCCTATAATAACAACACTGCTCCTGCGCTCAGCACATCGCACACACACACGGCTTAGAGGACTGAGAAGTTTGCAGTAAGGATTAAGAGAAAGAGAAACATAAATATTCAAACAAAGTGGAACAAACAGTTAAAGAAGATAAAATAAGAATTGTTGGTCATTTATTAATTTTTACACCATAATTAACATAAACATTATTTAATTCAAATGTGTGTGTGTATGTGTGTGTGTGTGTTAGTGTGTGTGTCGGGGAACTTTCTGCTGATGACCGTGACTACCTCTCCCATCCCGCACAATAGTACGGGACAACAAAACAGGCAGCACAGTCAGCGCTAATCATGCATGGCACAGCAGCCTGACCTCTGACCCTGTGCCACACCAAAAACAGTTCACAGCCAATCGGGAGTCGGAATTCTCTCCCAATAGATTTGGGTTGGATGTAAATGTATAAATACATCTTGGCTCATTAGGTCTGCGTCAGTCGTTCTCTCCCAAGGTTGGTGACTTTTTGTCGGCACTCCTAACAGTAAGTTCTCATTCTACCATCCTTTAACTGTTGGATAACTACATGGCTGAAGACTGTGAAAGTGTTTTATACCTTTGATAAAATAAGGCTGGAAGGAACCTTTCTTGAACATTTGTGGTTTAAGTTTTCACCCTAAGGCAGCTGCGAAACAGCAAACAGAGCCTGCGTTCCTCTGCTTTGATGCGGTTGTAAGAATCAATTTAAAAAGACAGATTTTTACACAAATTACGGCTTATTTTTTAGAAGGAAATGTTTTAGTCAATACGTTGTATTTTTTTGAAAAAAGGGAATTATCTCCCTATGTCCGATTGTATAAATAAAAATAAAGTAAATTTGTACTATATTGATCCCATATTTGGGAAATTATTGTGTTAGCAGCAGATATGCTGTTAACAGGCTGCCCCTAGTAAGCGCCAAGAATGTAGTTCCTCTGGGAATCGAACCCAGGACTCTCTGCTCTCTGCTTCCGAGGCAGGCGTGGATCCAGCCTTACAATCCAGTTTTTCCAGCCTAGTCTTTAAGCCTATATCCAAACTTTAGGTTTTTTTTAATATCAAGTACATTTGCATGAACAAATAAAGACTTGTTTAAATGTTTACTTATAACGTTGTGTCTCTCCTCTCCTTTAGATCCAATCATGTCTCATTCCGGGGCTCAAGGTAGCATTGGCAGCCACCCATCCATCGGAATGCGCAATTTCAAGGTTGTTTACTTTTAAATAGGAATTGAAATAAATGAAAATATATGGACGACGGAAATAGGGTGTAGTCATTTATCTGATCGAGTTCTTTTTTTTTTTCCAGATATACCTTTATGAATTTGAGAACTTCCAGGGTCAAAGAATGGACCTGTTTGGAGAGTGCCAGAACCTTTGTGAGAAGGGCTTCGAGAGAATTGGCTCCATCAAGGTGGAGTGTGGCCCGTAAGTTATTTTTTTTAATGTCCAAACTTGAGATAAACTAGTACTCTTTATTATATATTAATATTAATGATCTACTTTCTTAGCTGGGTTGGTTATGAGCAGCCAAACATGAATGGAGAGATGTTCATACTGGAGAAGGGAGAGTACCCCCGCTGGGACACATGGACCAACAGCTACAGAAGTGATCGCTTTATGTCAGTCAGGCCAATCAGAATGGTGGGTTTAATTCAGGCTGCGGAAAGTGATTTGCAGTATTATTTTGTATTTTATTTTATCAAATAAATGTGATTTTTGTTTTTCGCAGGACGCCCAGGACCACAAGATTTGCATGTATGAAAGTACAAACTTTGAGGGTAGGAAGATGGAGGTGTGTGATGAGGATATTCCAAGCCTGTGGTCTTATGGTTTCCAGGACCATGTCGCCAGTATTCAGGTCACTGGTGGAACGTGAGTTAAACCTAACTTTTTCTTCATATAAACAATTTTTAAAAAAGATACAAAAGAATAAACTGTAACGTTTCGGGCCAATTTCTTTTTTCTGTTTCTCCTCACAGATGGGTGGGTTACCAGTATCCTGGCTACAGAGGCTTCCAATACATCTTTGAAATAGGTTCTTACAAGCACTGGAATGAATGGGGTGCCCACCACCCCCAGATCCAGTCCATTCGCAGGGTGAGGGACATGCAGACACATCGCAGGGGCTGCTTTGAGATGACTGCATAGAGAGGAATCCAGCAAACTTTGCCCTTCGATAGAAAATAGCAACACACGGTTTGCTATGCTAACGTCAGTTTAACAACTCAGCCACACCGGCTAATGGCTTTTTAAAATTTATTTTATATTTTGATTTCAGTGATAGGCTTTTAGGAATATGTGCCATTGTTAACTATTCCGAGTGGGATGAAAAGTTGTCACAGACTTTGGGGGTAATTCTTACACTGGTGAAAACAGCTTCAGCATCCTTTTCGTTTACAGACCTCATACATGGTAATTCTATTTATCATATGTATAAAGCCCGAGAATAAAGAGAAGCAATAGATTAAAGTTCATAGGTTATGTTTAATCTATTTTTTTTCTTGTGCGTAATATCATATTTTACTCAGCTGCACAGGTGTTTAAAGCTAGGATAATGTCAATGAACCTCGTTTACCAAGTCCTCTGATTCACAGAAAGCTATTTGCAGTAAGTTACTACCACGGACAGTTCCCTTCTTCTGATCACGCTGTGCAGTGGGGTTTTCAAACAGAGGGCGGCGCTATCTCCTCACCAGTGAGCAAAACATGGCCACTGGGCTTTCTGTGATCAAACATAAAACACGTGGTGGAGCTAATAGAGCTAATATACTGTATATACTGGCTGGGCTGTTTGCAGTTCATCAACCCTGAAGATACTTTTCCTCAGGGATGCTGGGAACTGCAAGCAAACAAATAAACAAATGCATTTTTACACCTGAAAACAGTCTCTATTACTTTCTCTTCATTCATGTCATTTATCTTTATTTCAATTTCAAGCCCTGTATATTTAAATCGAATGAGTTTGTGTATAAAGGCATCATGAAATGAGAAGAAAAAAATTATTAATTGTGATGGACTATTGTTTTTACCATGTCACTTATTTCCATCGAATCGAAGACTTTTTGTTATTAAATTCAAATTCTGTAATGTCAGTAAGAGCGAATCGAACTGTTTAAAGTTTTCAACTACCGTGTACCGCCCCCTTCTGGCCACAGATTTCTACAGCTGGTGCAGTTGTACACACGTGTACGAATCAGAGACTTCAGACACTTAAAGCCTCTTTAACTGCCTTCCCTCGTTCTCCATGAGAGATTTGATTCACAAAATATAGCATACAGATGACTGGGATATATAGGTAAACATGGAACAAGTAAAACGAATCTATAACACAGGGGGAAACAAATAGACTAAATGATCAAGATGAGGTAAAGACGCATAAAAAACAACTCAGAATGAGGTAAAGACGCATAAAAAACAACTCTATTATGAATATATGAATCTCGATCTATTTGCGCTAAGAGTCAGAATCAAAATATTTATTTAAAAAAATAAATAAATACTTTTTTTCTTTTTTTAATCTGACCCTAAACACAGGTCAGAGGTTCGTGGGAATTCCCTAATAAACAGAGTCTTAACTCGGGCGTGTAGTTTCTTTAAGCCTAATTTTATTTACTCGGCTGGAGGTAGTATTTCTGCTGGCCTGTGAACCTCTGTGATGCGATCGTTCACCTAATCACATTGTTTCAGGCGGGTATTTGTGACACCTACGGATCTTTGCTGACAATGGTATGATGCGTTCACTGCTAACGTGTGGGACGCGACTGAGCAGGTGGAGATGCATGGGCAGATGACGAGGCCTCGGTCTGTCCGTCAGCCGCGCACGCATCACCGGCCGTTTTTAAAGCCCAAGGATTTGGATTAAATAGCTCGGGAGAGAACGGATGAGCACTCGGCGCGGGAGGGAGTGAGTGAGGGAAGGAAGGAAGGAAGGAAGGAAGAAGCCAGGCAGGGACTGATTTTTATCTTTTACCGGATCGGGAGAGGGGGAGGAGGAGGAGAAGGAAGAGGAGGAGGAGAATGAGTTATTCTTGTAGCAGCACAGAGCCTGTTTGCTGTGTTTAAGCCAACGCGTCACTAAAGGCTTCGACCGACGCAAGTCAATCGGCTCCCACGACGACGACGACGCCGAGACCAATAGAGAGGAGGGGAAAAAAAACGAATCCCGGATTCTGTCAGATCGTAACGCCAACAGCTAACAGTCTTCTTACCCTGGACATGAAAGTGCAGCACGGCTGCAACTCGTCAGACATGGGAATCCCGGTTAGAACCGAAGAAGAACTGCGCAGAAATACCGTAATAACGCCAGAAGATGTGCTTGGTCTGCAGAAGATCACCAAGAGTAAGTGACCTGTTTCTGTGTCGGGAGGGATTATCCCGACAAATCTGCTGCTGTCATCAACATCACCAGTGTTTTTTTTTTTCTATATACCGTAACATCGATCAGGCTCCGTGCGTTGAATGCACTGTTTTTATTGGTTGTCTCGAGAAAGCCAGAAAGAGTGGTACCATGGACAGCGTCGCAGCCTGATTTCAGCCTTTATTGCTCGGAATGACCGATATTTGTAACAAACTGTGAGATGCTGCTGCTTTGACGCTTGGTCCAAGAACAAATCTTTCGGAATTAGAAAATCTGGCGGCTTGAGCTGGCCACCAGGGCTTCACCTTACCTTCGATTTGTTCAATTGTCTTTCAAATGTGACTGTTGATATCCATCTCATGTCGAAATGCATTGCATTTAGTTAAAGGGGTTTCCTGAAGATGACTTTTCTTCTTTTTTAGCTGCAGGGTGCTAAAATCCTTCTTCGAATAAGAGACTGACTCAGACCACGTACTTACCTCAGAGCACCTGTAGCTCCAAGGTAACAGGTGGTCAGGGATATGGTCTGATGATCACAGCTTATCTTAGACAGTAATCAGCTGTGAAAAGCAAAAGAGAGGGAGAAAGAGAAAATACAAAACTATTTTGCACAGGCTTTAGCATATTTTCAAACCATTTCGGAATTAGGTCTAAAGAGACACGTTGTAGCCTGGTCACTACGCTGATGTCACAGGCAAGGCCTTGGTAAGTTTGCATGTTGTCCACTTGGTTGAGATGGAGGGGGTCTTTACCTTCTCTGGATTATGTAAATCTCTGTCTTTAGATCTCCATAATATCCCAGGTGTTGAAGGATTTAGTGAAGATGCTGTTTTTAAGCATCTACAGTAGTAAAATATTGACAAAATATTTGTGCAAAAATAGTAAGAACGATTCATACCAAAGGTTTTTCAAATAAAAAAAAGTGCTTGGTGAAATTTTTGATTTTACTCTATTAGTACCCCTCACCACCGACCCCCTGATGCAACACTGTTAAACACTACTACTTGGTTAGGCCGATAAGAAATACTGCTCTGAACATTTTATTAAAAAAAAAAATAATAAAAAAGATAAATAGGATTTTATATTCGATTATGACCCTACTCACAGTGTTATCTCCATCAACAAAAATAAAATTACAATTCCACTATTAACTGTGAAAAGTAATCAGGAGCAATAACAGTGACATAGTTCCCCATTATTAACTTGGGCTCGTTGTCGTTGTTTGTAATAAGAAGTGTTTACATGCTGCCTCAACAATCTGGCACCTTGTAATATGATGAACACATCTCTGAGTCCTCATCCTCCACAGATAATCAAACATGTGATCATCATCTAGAAATCAATATTGGGCCAGATTGTTGTGGTGGCAGACATGGAGATTATATAGAGACTATAGAGTAATTGTAATAATTGATTTTTTCTGCAGTATACCCTCCACTGATAATTATTTATCTTCCAAAAAATGTCCTGTGGTGTTTTCTAAAAAAAAAAAAGTTCATACACTGGTTACAGTAATTACTGCTGTAATCAATCAACAATCTATTTCCAGGTCGTTATTATGCACAGCTGTTATTTCTCTCTTTCTCTCTCCAAATAAGACCAGTCCGGAAATTTAGCAACACACAAACAAAAACACCACAGGAATCACTTACGTTATTCAAATACTACGTTATTCAAAGTCATCATTTTCTCACTGCAAGACAAAGAAAATAGCAGCTGGAAAAAGGGGGCAGCAGAAAATGTCTAACCCTGCAGTGTAGCGACGATTTTCTCCATGGCGATTTCTGAAGGTAAATACTTCATTTTTGGGGCATTGCTGTTCCCGACTGTCGGTGTGGCACAGATTAGCAAATCACAGTGCTTCATTTTTGCACAGAAATGAAAGGAAATTGATTCATAATTCAGAGTGGAATTGTACGTTGCCTGAATTATGTTCAGGGAAACACAGCGTGAACAGTAGTACTAGACGGATGACTTTGACCGGGCAGGCAGACAGTAGGCAGCTGTCGCACCGATGTCTCAATTTAAACCTCATATTTTGCGACCTTGGAGCGATGATTACTCCAGGAAATTGGTGAATAAAGAGAAATCACCAAGAGATATATTTACAAAGGCTGAAAGGCGTACCTATTTTAAACATTTAGATCAAAATCTCAAACTTCGGTACACACACCACAGGTGGCACTCGGGCTCCCCCTAGAGGTACTTGGTGAGATTTTTGGTAGCGGTTGTGTGTACTTGGGTTTAAATTATTTTAAGTGCCAGTTGTGCTACTACTAATAATCTAACTGAGTGCTATTACCATATGTGGAGAGCTAAATATTTCTCACACGGTGCAAAAATGTAGGAACCACCGAATGAGGCCACTGTACGAACGGCACATCTGCACTGCAGGCAGGACAACCTAGCATTTCAGATCAATCATTTCCCAAAAGAAGCTAACACATAGACTACAGAAGACATTAGAGTTTTTAATTGAAACCACCATACGGATAATATCGACCTCTTTTTGCTCACAGACATCAACCCTTAAATGGATTATTTTACAAACCGATAACTATTGTACGAATGCTATACGACATTATTAAAATCCTCTGTGAGACACAGTAGAACCAGTGGAACATTGACAACCTGGGAGCATCGTTTGTTTGCGTGTTATGATAATTTACTGTTAGAACCGTTTGTGGTGTTTTTGACTGAACGTCGACATTATTCGGACATTTTGCTGATTCACTTAAAACAATCTACTTCCTGTTACTCTAATGTGTAATCGGTGACTTGGCCTCTTCGGCCCCCGTTCCTCAACGAGTGTAATTCTCACTCCGTTATGGCGGTCGACACAATGGATACAGCTTTAATTAAAATTGATCTGTGCAGTCAGTTCTAAATATCCATTTCGCACGGCTGTCACACGGTTATTTTCACAGAGTGATCTAAGCAGGAGAGAGATCGCATTGTTGGTCTCACATCGGTAATCAACGCGATCGCATCACCTGACGCTGGTGTCAAAAATAACGACATGTTACCTGAGTAAAGACGGGTCAACGCCATGCTTAACAACAAGAACAAACGTTGTTGGGTTTGACGCCCTAACTCCCCCCGGTGCTGCTGAGAGTTTCCTCTGCCCTGAACCATGGGTTAAATGCAGCGTTTAAATGCAAAGTTTGTCGTGTGTGCAAAGACCCTTAAAGCTAAATCAGATTATGTTCCATATCTGTGGAAACAAATTATGAAAATAAATCAACAGATAAATCAATATAAACAAAACAAAGAAAAGAAAAGTAGAACAGTTCTCAGAGAGGACAGTGGGGAAATAATGGTTGGAAATCATTTTCTTATAGGACAATATCCAAGCCTTTTAAAGTAATATCCCACTTTCCGATGAAACAACCCAGACATTATGCCTACAGTACACTGATTATGACTTGGAACTACTCAAAAAATTACATTTAAAAGTAGTAAAAGAGCAGCATGGGCCTTAGGGTAGTGCAAAGATATAGTTTTCTAAAAGTCATTTCAAAATCCACAAACCTAATCGCACATTCAAGTTTGACTAAATGAATGTGACCTAATGACTAACGCCGTGGAAGTAGTACTGCAGTACTGTTGGTAAAAAGGCCCAGTCACTTCTGATGATCTGTGTTTGTTTAATCAGATCAAGAAGAAGAAGAAGAGGAAAGATAGAAACAAAAGTGTCAGTCTAGTACCATTATTAATCAACATGACGTTGTAACAGCAAAGGTAAAAAAAAACAGTTTGTAAAATTGAATTCATGGAGCAGCCAAACGAGGCCAGCATTCATTTCTCCACAGTCAGATGTTCCCCTGGTTCTCTGCCTCTCTGTGCCAATTCACAATGTCAGCCAAAAGTCTTTCTACGAGAACAAAATACGGTCCAAGAAAAACCGGAAGGATTTTCCACATCCTTTTTAGCGCTCTTATCTGTCTTGCTTTGCAAAACTTTTTTGGAACAGACAGATGGCTTTTTTGAATTTAGTTTAATCTGATTTATCACAGGGTAGCTGTGGATTAATCCCAAGCAGAATTTATCATGGCTAACCAACATTAAATCTTTAGAATTTGTGATTTTTTATTGGTTAATCGGGTATATGATTATGAATATCGCCGGGAGAGAAAGACAAATAACAGGTGTCTATTTTTATTTATGATTAATACAAATAATGGAAATGATAATACAGGAAAATGTCAAGAAAAATACGAGACATTTAAATGCAGTAATACCTTGAGATACGAGCGTCCCGACATAAACAAGTATTCTAAGATTGCTTTGAGATACGAGTAAAGATTTGAGATACGAGCACGCTAACAGACGTTGACGCTAGGTCACGTCACGTGTTCGTTGACGTCCGTACGCATCTCGTGATTTTCTCTCTATTTTGTGCAATATTCTTCATGATAGTGATGAGTCCTAACAAAGTGAGTGGTAGAGATGGTAGAGAGAAGAAGAAATGTATGATAAAGCCCGCTAAAGAAAGAACACAAATACAAAAAATAAAAAGTAGAAATGCCGCCATTAGCCGCTACTGTATCGTCTGTCTCGAACGTAAGAAGTCAAGAAGTTATTAGCACTAATGAAGGAGTTCTTTAAAGTGCCGGAACGGATGAATTTTTTTTTTTTTGTTATTTCTTATGGGAAAAAATTATTTGCGATACGAGCATCTTGAGTTACGAGCTCGGTCCTGGAACGGATTGTGCATGTATCTCGAGGTATTACGGTACTTCAAATTCTACCAAAAATATAATGTGAATGTGATTTATTTGTCATTGTGACACAGCACACCACTGCACACAATTGAAATAAACGATGACTTGCATTACATTTACTAGGGTCAACGGTCACGTGTAATAACACTCTAAGGTATGAACATGACATGAGGTGAGTGAAGACAAATGAGAGAAAAAAGAGTGATGTCAGAGTCGTCTCCTTCCTCGTTCCATCTACAGCCTGACCCTAAATGTTAC